TCCCAGCAGCGGCCGGGTGATCACTCCCAGCAGCAGCTGGGTGCTCACTCTCAGCAGCAGCCGGGTGATCACTCCCAGCAGCAGCCGGGTCCTCACTCCCAGCAGCAGCCGGGTGATCACTCCCAGCAGCAGCTAGGTGCTCACTCTCAGCTGAGCCGGCAACACAAAGCGCTGCTGTTGATTCGGTGCATGCCATTGAGTTGCAATGCGGCGTATATTGCACTGGCAGCTAGATAAGGCAACAGTGAGCAGCTAGACACGGATTTGCGACACGGCTTGAACAAAACCTTTGATTGCGGCGCTAGATGACGGCGTACAACCGGCGGGGGTGCGGGGTAAGACCATTCATTACACACCATTTGTTTGCCCCGGAATGGTTTTGACCGGGCAAATGTGTGTGTAAGGCGATTTGGCAGTTCATTTGGAAGGTTTGATGACATTGCAACTTTATTTCAGTCAGGCGAATGCCAGCGGCTCCTCTCGTGCCCTTTTGCACTTGTCGTCGATCATATCCTACAGTTGACACCAACTTCAAGCGTCACATAGGATTGTTCACCCGCCTGCATCGATTGATTGATTGATTGACTGGTTGATTGATTGATTGTTTGCCCGCTGGCCCGCCTCTGCCCGCTCTGCCTGGGCCGAGAGGGATGAGGTGACATCTTTCAACTTTTACCAGACACGTCGATTATCGGTGGTCCACGTACTTTGCGAGCCAACTCTCCACGATCTCACCACTGATTCTCGTACCAAACCAGCCCTCGCTGTTGCGTCCCAAGGGGCGTTGTACGGCGCGCGCCCTCCGTTTTCTGCGTGGGATGACGCAGTCTTCTGTCGGCCCCAGCGCCGTAACGTGCTGTCCAGCGCAGGCTGGGGCTCACACTCGCCAACGTCACGATGTGTTTGGCTATCCTGGTCCCAGTCGCCGGCCCCGCCGCCGACCTTGTTTCGGGAGCGAACGGCCGGTAAACTGACCCGTGGGAGCGACGTTGCTGCACCTCCCACGAATGCCGCCGGCAGCGCCAGCGCTCGTTATGTCATTGGTTGAGACATGAGACGGTTTGGCCAATTATGCTTCGTCTGAAAGCCCACGTCATGCCGCCTAATGGCCATGTTGGGATTGGAGACCGGACGTGTGTGGACACATCGCTGCGCCTCTGAGGCGTCTTGCGGAAGATGTAAACATGAATCAATCTCGCCCCAACACATCGAGAAACACAAGGCGCGCATCTCAGCATTTCCATCTTAAGACATGCTTTTATGAATCAGCAATGTTTTGAAAATTAAACAAAGCAAGGAAACGCGGGTGCCAAATATCATTAGCTCTCTTTACCAGGAAACTGTAGCGTAACGTCGACAACGTCCATTCGAAAGTCTGCCACCGAGACGTAATGGGTCCTTTCATGAAAAGAAGTCAGACTCATCGGCGTAATAACCGAGGATGAAAGTGACGTGCGATCCAAAGTACGGTTGGCCGCGTCCAAATTAGGAAAACCAAGCAAGGGGCGCATTACGTCCAATTACTTCTCATTCCGGACTCACGCACGCTCGGCACCAACAGAGGGGCAAAACTTTCCGCGGGGAAGTCCGTCTCCTCTGGCGACTTAGGGCGGGCCCCACGGGTCCCACGGGCGGGTCCCACGGGCGGGCCCCACGTCCCACCGATCCCAGGCTTCACCGGCGCCAGCTGCAGTGATCTGCCAGGGGCACGCAGCGCACGCTCTTCAGACCAAATGGTTATTGGCACTTGCGTCTCAAAAGTATCGTGAAACTTTCATTTTTAGTTGATTTTCTTCCGTCATTGCGTACAAGAAAGAACGCGTAACGCGGTTGGGTTGCCTGTATCCTTGTGTTCCCAGCATGACAAACTTATGCGCGCTTAGCCGGCGCCTTAACCCACGAAGCCTACGATCAAGGACCCGTAGCTGAGTTGAAAACATCGCGACGGACAGCTGATCACTAGGCGGCAGACTAAGAAACTCTCAGCTACGTACTTACTCACTCTTACTCCCGTCCCAGAGACAACGTTCTGGATCTATCGTCAGGGATGAACAACTGGCACCTGGCCATGAGGGGGTCAGATTGACACCGAGTGACCGTGTCGTGGTGACGTGTTGCACCGATGCGTAGTTCGGCGGTGTTTGGCCTACAGTACAAACAAAACTGTTACTTGATTTGGACGCAGTGTTCGGCCGGGGCGGTGGATTGGGAACCTTGACAACAATCAACGGTGAGCAAAGAGTGCTCTCTAATGACCATTTGTGTGGGAAGTTCGCCCATTTTTCTTAAAGAAGTAGGGAGATGATTATTTCATCTGTATCCTAGTGGAGAAGTGGGCTGATGGAATTAACCTGAGTAATCATGATGGATGCATAGTATGACACGCTGGCAATCTTGCCACTCCACGCGTCAGCTAGCAGCCGTGCGGCAGCTGCGGCAGCTGGTTCACGTGGCCAGCACGGACCAAAACCCGGAACATCGGCATCAGCGGACCGCGATGACTGTGACTTGCGGGCCGCCGTGACGGACCGGTCCGGCGGCTCCGTCAGTCACGCCCGCCGAACCGACGGATGACACACTAGTGCTGGGCCGTGACAAATTCCGTTCGTCATCCCGCTGATTGGTTTGTCACGGCTCGCGGCGCGTCGGTCGTACTGTCGTCTCTCACGGTTTTACGAAACTTTCGAGGTGCATTAACACCTCGCGGTGTTGCAATGGGTTGCGGACGCCTCCCTTTGGCCGCGCTCAATTTCAGCGATTTGGGTTGCGCACGCCGTTGTGGGTGAACAAGTTTCATGACAAACACATCCATCCTTGAGAAGAACACACTAGATCATCTGAACCACTACTGCGTTATCTGCAAAGCTGCCTTGACACGGTTCGGACAAACACAGTACAGCGCACGACGCCACAGAACAGCGCTAAATCTACGACCCAGGACATGTGAGGGAAGTATTGGAGCATGCGCGCTGATAAAGACGTTGTCATAAACTCATTTCGCAATTGAGAAGGCTTTAAGCGGCTTTTCGCTGGCTCACCCATATGTCGGTCACGTGCTGTTGACTGTTCACCGAACCGGTCGTGCTGGCTCATCCAGCCCCTCTCTCCAATGGGCAAATAAGGCAGATTGGACAGAATGAGATGCGCCAGCTGCACTAAAACTCAATGATCTCACGCATGAGCTGTGCTGTTAATGGCGAGAGTTGTGGAAGACCGCAACGGGAGTTGCGTTCGTGATCGCCAATGGCAAAAATATCGTCAGATTAGTTCATTGATGGGTTCTTTCCCTGCAGTGGGCACGCGCAGTATTCAGAACACTGCTTGCTTTCGGAGCCTTTCGAAGCTTTTCATCGCCGTTTTCTCTCCAAAGCATCCGGCTTTTGGAGGCACCATTCTTGCGAAGCTCGGGGCATACATACACACACACACATACACACACACACACACACACACACACACACACATATATATATATATATATATATATATATATATATATATATATATATATATATATATATGAACGTGTTCGCTGTCTGTATCTGTATTTGGTCAAAGTATCGATGCAGAAGTGCTTTGCCGGAGCGCTCTACAAGCTTTTTCCTTGCACTCGCTGGTTGCCCTAAACACCCTGGACATTACGTAAGTTGCCAAGACAAACCCCAGACATTACGTTAGGCGGCATCCTTCTCCCTCTGTAGTCAATTGATCGCGATCATTAACATCATACTCTGCCAACCGGATGTTCTTGGTATGTAACAACTCTCAACACGCGCCCGGGTGGTCGGCTGAATGCCCTTTGCTCCAGTAGGGGTGACTGACTCCCTGATATCTCAAAATTAAGATAGCCGGACACGTAATGTTCACATTATAGATTCAAATTTGCGCGAACTTACATGTGTAAAAATTGTGTATTCCCACGTGATGTCCTTGGGATTCAATATGGTCAGACAAGGTCAAATCCAGGTTGGTGCCCCAGGTGCCCCCAGACTTTCTTATGCAACCGCCGTGAATGCCTGTTCCAGGCAAGAGCTTAATGAGGCCAGTGACATTGTTTGACCTTCATAAGGTCAAGGTGACCAAATATCTACACAATGACCCTGATTTTGCTATTCGAATCAGTATTTGGGACCACGCTAGAGGCGATATGTTCCTAAAAACAAAACGTTGATCGGGGTCATTTTAGGTCAGTCACGTACTCTGGCCTTTAAAAGGTCAGTAGAACATCTTTGTTGCAGTCCCTGTCGCTAACCAACTCGAAATCAGCGCCAAAGACTACCCCATTAAACCAAGCTCTCGACTAAAACTTAAGGTCAGTTTTTACCTTGCTCTGGCCTACATACTTGCCCTAGGTGAGTTAAATTTGTTACCATTCTGAATTTAATCTTGTGTTGCCTAAGAAACTATCCAAGATATGTATGGCTTCATCTCACACTATGTTGCTGCATCACATTGAACGATTCCCCACAAATGTCCTTCGCCGACAGCCATGGCCTGGGTTTTACCGCCCATGGGTTAGCGACCTTACCAGGTGCATCATCCCTTTACATAACAATGTCCGGTATCTAATTCTCTACAGCTAAGCAAAGTTTGGTGGGGCTACGCCGCGCCGTTTGGAAATTATTCTGTAAAAATCTTTGGGCAGTCAATCTTACCCCATCCCCCAACCCACCCACCCCAACGCGTATTGACTGCGGCTCGTCGAGTCTTTCAAGACCTTCACAAACCGTGAGAGAAAAATCAAGACTTAGACTTGACAAGTATAAATTAAGACTGTCACACCCGTGAAAGGCTTCATTTCTATTTGCGGCCTGCTTCAGACCTATCTTGACTTCTGGGCTTCATCGTCTATCCTGTTTTCGTCATTTATTGCGAAGATTCCTCGCGTCTCGTACGTGTCCTCTCGTTTGAAACTAACCTCTCGCGCATTCTCGCACTCAAACGCCCTCTGCGATTTGCGTCAGACAGTTGGCTGACCGCGTGCGTCCTCTTTTTTCTAGACTCGTCGTCGCCGGACGCGGTGGGCGCGGCCTCCGCCCGCCTCCTCCGCGTGGTGGCCCCCTCCCAGTCACGTCGCAATGCCGCCCTCAAGCGACACGTCACACGGCCGGAGTCATCTAGCGGCGGCCGGCGAGGCTCGCTCAAGGTCATCCGCCGCCGCAAGGTGGCAGCACCGACGACCACTGAGCGCAGTTTCGGCGCCTACCTGGAACCGCCGTTCCTGGCGCTGTTGAATGACTCACACTTCAGCCTGCAGCCGGAGTTCCTGCTGGCACAGGGGCTGGTCGGCGAGCATCAGCTCCAGCCCTTCATAGGGTTTGGCCGGCGGCTAGGGTCAGGCGAGGTGCAGGGCGCGCAGGCGCTGGGCTCAACCCGCAGTGAGGTGGTGTCTGGCGCCGGAGAGGACGCCCGCGGACGCGGGCGGGGTCGAGGTGCCACCCAGGGACTCAGTGAGGACAGGCTGAAGGCCAGGCGGAAGGCAGTGAGGGGAGGCGGTGGCATCACACCGGAGGCGGCACCGCTTGTGAGTGAGACGATCACGACAAAGCCAGCTGCAGTGAAACGTGTGGGAACAAATGCTACGGCGCCGGCGGTGGAGAATGAAATCGACAGTCCGCGGAAGTTACCCTTAGCTGACGGCGAGGTCAGCGCCACAGAGCTGAACAACGTGACAACCCCGACACCACCGGATGCTGAAGCAACTTCAGTGAAAACGTCAGCTGACGTTACACCTACCACCGACGAGGCAACTGCGACGACCACACATCCATCCCTCGCAGCTTTCTCCGTAGATGGGCTGACATCGGCAGACTCCACCACGACAGAGGTCGCCCCAGCGGCAGCGGACGAAGTGTTGCCGCCGACGCACGCTGAGGTCGAACATGTGAGTGCGCCGGCCCCCTCGGGGAAGGCGGAGGGTGACTCGAACGTAGCGGCAGTCGAATCCCCGAGCACAGCGACCGTTTCGACCGAGGCTGAAACCTCAGCCCACCCGCCCCAGCCCAGGCCGAGCGAGCGGCCGGCTCGGCCGACCTCGGGCGGCGTCGAGTCGGCGTCGCCGTCACGACGACCTCCATCGGCGCTGATCCGCGGTCGTCTGGGCCGCTACCGCAGCCGCCTGCAGGGGGTGCGCGGCGGACGACGGAGGACCAGCACCACACCGCCACCGCCGCCAGAACACAAGGAGAAGCAGGAGGTCAGCAAGGTGCTCGGTCTGCTGGCCAAGATCAGAAACCGGACGCGCGTGTCGCCAGCCCTCATCGCGCGGGGCGGGGCGCGCACATGGCGTTCCGGGCGGAAACGGAGGACGCTCGAGGTCGAGAGCTGGAGGTGCTGGACGCAGCCGCGTGGGAGATGGCACAGAGTCGCCTGCTGGGAGAGCAGCCTCACCAGCACCATCAGCCGCGAGACCCGCAGGACGAGCGGACACGACGCCTGCTGACGCGACAAGCGATTCCCCGGAAGGCAGCTCGCGGCCGCCGACGTCGTCAACAGCAGCCGGTCCATCCCCTGCCTCACCGTCTGAAGCGGCAGCTGATGTCCCCACCACGTCTGAGGTAGCAGCTGATGTCCCCCCCACATCTGAGGTAGCAGCTGATGTCCCCACCACATCTGAGGTAGCAGCTGATGTCCCCACCACGTCTGAGGTAGCAGCTGATGTCCTCACAACTGTCCTCGCGACCCCGCAGTCTAGCAGCTCGACGGAACGGGGCACCTCCAGGCAGACCGCCGGTCGGGGAGGACCATCATCGCGGAAGAGTTCAGACGCCCGACGCCGTGGACGCCCGGAAGCGGTGTGGGCAGGCGCAGCTTCGACGTCGGAGAACACCGCGTCTGCCGAACGCCGTCGCCGCCTCGAGTCGCTGCGCCGGGCCTATCCCGTGGAGAACAAGAGCAGCCAGAACCTGCTGGCGCGCCGCCTACGGCAGCGGCAGAACGTGTTCTCCGCCTTGGGCGGCGATGGCGGCCACAGGGCGGCGTCGACAGGGCACGACGGCGGCTCCACGGCCGCCGCACTGCCGGCCGCGCTGCTGCCCACCATGGCACCGCTGCCGATCCTGCTGTCGACGTTGCCCGCGCCGTTCCGGGCGGGCCTGATCACGGCGCCGCCGCTCCGACGCAACTTCACCGTGAGCGTCACGTTCCCGCCGACATCGCAGACGACCGTGCGCACCGGGGGACGCTCGCCGGGTGGCGGCGGCGCGGCGGTGACGTCGGCTGGTCAGCCGGCCGGACGTGTGCTCGGCACCTCCCTGCAGACGTCCGTGTCGGTCGCCGTCTCGCCGCTGGAGTTCAAGCTGCGGAAGCGGGTCAGCCTGGCGCAGGCGGCGAACGAGGCAAGGGGACGTGATGCCGGGGACAGCGTAGCGGCCGGGAAACGGCAGGGAAGCGATGCACAGCGGGCAGGTGGCGGGCGGGCGTCTGGAGAGGTGTCTGAGGGAGACACCGCGCGGACAAGTGGTCCCAGTGGTGAGAGCAGCGCGCTGCCGGAGCTTGACGACCCGCCGGCTCCGTCGACGACCACCGAGAGATCGCGCAACGCCTCCACCACGCAGACGTACAGCCCCACGCCGGAGCAGAGCTTCGACCAGTTCACGGTGCGCGCGCCGCGGCTGAGCCTGGCCGAGGTCGCGGCGGCCGCCGATGCCAGCAACAGGACCCGGCACACCAGCCCGACCTCCACCGCCTCGTCCCACTGGCAGGAGGAGGACGAGCTCGTCCAGCGCGTCCTGGATGCTGGGCCCACCTCGTCGACAGCCCCGCCGAGCGCGGCGAGCTCGCCGCTGCCATCGGTCGGTCGGCGGCGGCCAGCGGTGCGCGAGGTGTTCGCTGAGGAGGTGCTGCTGACGGAGGAGGCTGAGAGTCGGCCGCTTTACCTGGTGTCGCTGCTGTTCGTGCTGCCCGTCGTGGCCGTGGCGCTGTGGTACCTGAAGAAGAACCACCTGGACATGCGGCAGCTGGTGCCTCAGGTGGGTGGACGCGGGCGATCCCACTGAGGGGGTGTCGTGTGAAGGACTTCAGAGGTTCTCAAGCTGCGTCATGAACGTCACGTTAACAGGATATAGCTATTGTGCATGAAAGTAGCTTGGTTATGTGTAAAGTTGCTGAGGAATGGTGGCATTGCGCTGGAAAATCGTGCTGTTTTGAAACGAAATGGGCTCCAATTTCTTGTTGTTACTGAAGCCAGCAATCCAAACAACACGTGGTCTTTTTAGATTTGCAAGCTCTGATTTACGAGTGGGTTCGTTCCTGTAGTCTTGCCATTAAAGGAATAGGTATATAGCATGAGATCGCTGTTCGGCACCAGTGTGCCCACAAGAAATGATTTCGTACTTGTGTTCAGTGACTTGTGACCACGAGGTAATAACTAGTGGTGGAAGCATGTGTTTTGTCGATCGTTGGTCACGGTGGTAACTGGATTGACTCCATCAGTAATGTTACAAGCATGATGAGCTTGCACGTAAAGTGTTTGTGTCAAACATAAGTGAAAGCTCTCTGTGACGCGTGTTTCCGCACTGTGTTTGCGAACGTTCCGTGTGACACTGACACCCTGTGATCTATGCTGCTACCTGTGATCATGCCTTAGTTTCTGCACTGAACGCATAAGACGCGTATGATGCTGAAGTTGGCGGCGTAAGCTTGAAGCAAACGTTTGGGGCATGCAATTGTATACTAGCACACGATCTGTGCTGGTGAGCTTTTCTTGTGACCTGTGTCTGCCCACTTCGTACACCGGCACGTGTTAGTTTGTGCGACTCTCATTTAAACCCTGTGTGACTTGCAGGTCACCTGTTCTTGCTGCTCGTGCTTGTGGCCACAGTTATCGGTCTCCGTTTCATGCTTTAAAAGTATGAAACAGGGACCGAGGCGAAGTGTGCTTGTTCAAAGCGTAGGTCACTACGCTTTGGACGTTTACACACCTAGTTCTCGTGCGATTTCACGTTTGGCTTGCAGTAATACCGATGTTACTGCATGGATTAGTGACCTGTACTAGTAAAGCTACTGTGGTTGGATCCAAAATGTGGATCCAGGGTCCCATGGCACTCCGTGTTCATGAGATCCTGGGATCGGATCCAGAAATGTTTGGTTTGCTATGTTTGAGGGGGAGGGGGCTCTAGGCACACGACTCAGCGCCATCTGTTGGTGACTCTTACTCGTGTCTGACAGCGTCTGAAGTCGATGTTGGGACCCGACTCGTCTGACGTCACCAGGGATGACGTCACCAGGGATGACTTCTACCTGCCGACAGAGGAGACCAGCAGCAAGGTCGCCACGATGCTGGTCAGTCACTGATGTTGTCCTTGGCCTCCAGGGCAAGGGGGGGGGGGCAGGCAAACGTAGGGGTCAGTTTGCCGTAGATATGCCGGGAAAAGGGGTTACATGTGCATGTGCTGGATGCTTCGGTGTATCCAGTACCTGTGTGGTTGTCTGCTTCTGGATTGTGACTTAAAACGCGCTGCTTGTTGCCCTCGTTAGCCTCCTTTTTGTCGCGGTTGCTGTAGGCAGGGGGCACCAGTTACGCTTCAGCAGCGCCGGGTCCGCTCCAGTGGCCATACACAGCTGCTTAATTTATGACCCTGTTGTCTCCAGAGCTGTGGCATTTGATAGCTAGGAAAACGACGTCAGCCCATGATAAGATAGCAGCACCACAATTAGTGTAACCTTCGTAATGTGTATCAGGGCAGATCCTTCAGGTTGAAAAGTCAGCCGGCCCGTGAATGCGAGCTAGGACTGATCAGCACGACGTGTGTAGCGATTTGGAAGTTATTCTGGAGCACCTCCTGGAGCCTTCAAAGCTGCGAGTTGAGCGGCGTGTAAATGGTCGATGGCCAAATCGGCTTTAAAGACTGTGTGCAACCAAGAGAACGATGCACGAAGATATGACGAAATCTGCTGCTGGTGTACACTGCAGCGACGTGCAAGCATAGTGGCTTAACGCGTTGCTTTACGCAATGCAAGCAAACGTACGCACTTCTGGCGTTTAACAGGATTCGCACTGCACAAACTGTTAGCTGTGCCCCCTGGCCCTCTCATTGTGAAGTTCTCCATATGCCCCCCGCTACGAATGCAATATGGTCCCTGAAGTTTGAGCTTAACCATGGGCGCTATGAGAGCGGGTGCACTGCTAGCTGAATAGCATCACGATGCAATATCCATGTTTTTTCATTGCGACGCACTACTCGCGGCAGTTCCATCACATGAAGTTACTACTGCATTGCCTTGTTTCATTGCACGGAATCGAAAAAAAAACAATGTGGCCGTCTTAGTTTCAATGTAACGCTAAGAACAACGGTTTTCAGTAAGATACAGCACCAGCAGAAAGGCCTGCTCGCTCGTCTCTTGTGCGTGCAAGGCACGCAGTTAGGCGTGCATTTGGGATGCTACGGAAATTAAGCGCAAAAATTTACCAGCTGAAAAGAGCGTTTTGACGATCAATTCAATAGGAAAGATCCATTTTAAGCGTTGTAGTTACTTCATGAAATCTTGAATCTCACAGGTTCCTTGAGCTGCTTCTCTGGGCAACCGTAAAGCTTCTCAAAGTTGCGAACCCATCTGTGTATTTCCCTCCACACTCTCGCCATGCCTAACGCTCATACGCTGGTCTGCCAGGCCGCCGCGTGACGTCGAATGCTTATAGACGACTCTGCCACGAGGTGAAAGTGGCCCAGAACAAGATGAACGGCTTTGTCAGATGGGCATTCTGTAATGCGTGCTAAATACCCTACGGTTGCCAGATGGGCGTTCTGTAATGCGTGCTAAATACCCTACAGTTGCCAGATGGCCGTTTTGTAATGCGTGGTAAATGGCCTACAGTCAGTGACCGCTCGCACCGACGACGAATGCGACGCTACTCGAATGTGGAAGCACAGATCTGTACTCAAAACGAGGACGGGGTAGTCGGCAACGCCGGGCTTGCTAGCTCTAATGATACTCTACTGGCTCTGCTAACCCTGATTCTAATTATATTCGCTAATAGATTTATTATAACTCTGTCCTGATTGTTGTATATCCATGAGCTCTATTCGATGGTCCCTTCGAGACGTTACAGTCGACCAGTTCGTTTCGATTAGTCACATATCGGTCCGGTTGGCAGCCCAGTTGGCAGCACCGGCATAGCGGCCAGTCGTGTGCTTTTACATGAAAAGGCAAGGATGAGTCATCCGCAGATTGCGATACGCGTGACTTGGGAACGGTCGGCACCGTTGTCAGTCCGTTATCAGACTGCTAGTGGACCATTCGGCCACGAACTTCGTTGTCAACACCGATGGCACTGTTGCTACGACCTGATCATAAACACGTGATAAGGTTATGCTCATTGCCATGGCGTTCATAAGCTGTCATTTTCAAACAGCGTTGTTCTCCAGCACGTGCATCGCTTGGAACAAGCTACGATGCGGTGCTGTTGCACACGCGTCGTTGCTCCAGCCGCATGATCTGAGCTCTCGGGCATTGACATATCACGCCCTTAGCAGTGACATCTGCATTCCGTGGAGTTAATTTTTTACATAGCATTCCATAATATTCCACACCGGCATGGCTCGTATATTTTGCTAACGCAAGCAGCAACTTCTCTTTCCTCGTACAGGCGTGCACAGCTCTTGTTCAGAAATCGGAAGGGATGTCACTATCACTGTGGCGTTCAGCACCGAGCGCAACCAAATACACGTTTTGGCAATCGAGTATCGAGTAAGTGTGGTCGAGACGCGACCGCTTCCACGGCGAACTGAAATTGCGCGTGCCTCCTCGTCGTCAGGAGCGTGCTATAAACACACTCGAGAATCAGCTGTCGGCAGCAGGAACGACATACCAGAGCTGTTCATCACTTGGCGCCACCGAAGTTCACGTAGCGACTTAGCCACAGCCGTCGTCTCACCAAGGTGGTTCTATTTGTGGCCCGTAGTGAAAGCCAGCTGATCATCTCCCGATGCTCATGACCGATGACCTTGGCTCGGAGTAAACAGGTCAGAAGATGGTCGGACCTTCGGAAAGCGATGGCTTTGCCCCTTATCTCTGACCGTTAATCACGGGGAGCTGCGTGGCGATCGCCGCCCTGCCCTGTGTTCACCCTGGCGTTATATGCGTACCGGCCACCCTGGCAATCTTTGTACCGGTTACCGCCCCTGACCGGCGTCCACCGCCCTGACCGGCGTCCACCGCCGTGACCTGCATCCAGCGCCGTGGCCTACGTCCACCGCCGTGGCCTGCGTCCACCGCCCTGACCTACGTCCACCGCTCTGACCTGCGTCCGCCGCCGTGACCTACGTCCACCGCCGTGACCTGCGTACGCCGCCGTGACCTGCGTCCACCGCTGTGACCTGCATCCACCGCCGTGGCCTACGTCCACCGCTGTGACCTGCATCCACCGCGTGGCCTACGTCCACCGCCGTGACCTGCGTCCACCGCTGTGACCTGCATCCACCGCTGTGACCTGCATCCACCGCCGTGGCCTACGTCCACCGTCATGACCTACGTCCACCGCCATGACCTACGTCCACCGCCATGACCTGCGTCCACCCTGGCGTTTTATGTGCGCTGTCCGGCGACGGAGTCCCAAGGAGATATTGGTTGGCCAGGAAAGTAGCAGATTAGCGCCACTGCGGACCTCGAGTTCGCACGCATGAATCACGGGCCATGATTGGGCGGACACGGTGTGTATCTCATGGGCCACGATTGGGCAGACATGGTGTGTATCTCATGGGCCATGATTGGGCGGACACGGTGTGTATCTCATGGGCCACGATCGGGCGGGCACGGTGTGTATCTCATGGGCCACGATTGGGCGGACACGGTGTGTATCTCGGAAAAAGTTGCAGCGTGATGTGTCTTATCGAATGCCTGCGGCTCATGCCTTTGCTCCACAAACGCCTCATTAGTATGTCTGCATCCATGTCTAAGGCAGTTGCCCCATCTTTTGTGAGTGTTTTTTTTTGGGGGGGGGCGGCCAGAGAACATTTAACACTGTCACTGAGAGACCCACCATCGCCTTGGCGTGGGTCACCCGGCGAGTCGCCTTGGCGTGGGTCAGCCGGCGGGTCGCCTTGGTGTCTGCGGTCCGCTGTCTATCTCGTGTCTGGGCCTGGACTACTGCCACCGGTGACCCCCCCCCCCCTCTGCTGCCCTCTCCCCCTCACCATCTCAGGCCTTTACGTATATCTAATTAGCCGGTAGAAATGCCCACTGCAGAATTAGCTGCGGTAGATTGGGTAGGGCTGTGATAGGTTGGGTAGGGCTGTGGTAGATTGCATAGTTGGTTTCGGCGGCGGCGATGATGTGTTTTGGAAAATTCACGAAAATATAAATTCAGCAGGAACAATGGCTCGCGTATGGGTCGTTTTTCCATGAACATTAGTATAGAACCCAATACCACGTTACGCTCGAAAAATCTCAATCGGATATTTTAAAATAAACATGCATGGCACACACGTGCAGTAATACGAACAAGTTCATCATCCCTATGGACATTGTGGGCAACCCGGGAATGTCTTCGATTTGCAGGAAGCGATGTTTCAGTGGAAGGCATGAATACGTTTCTTCCGTTATAAGCGCACCAAAGATGGCTACTATTTCATTAGGTGTGTCGTATTCATGGAAATAAAAAAACACTACGCCTGAGATACGACACACCACCGATATCGCATGCGCAGTACGGTCTGACAAGAATATGACAGTCATTTCTTGAACTAGAGCATTCCTGACAGACGCTGTAAGCTCTTCAGCGATGGTGGGCGTCTCCAGCGGACCGCTTGTCGCCCGTGAAGTCCTGCGCAGTACGCGGGGATGCATCGGCTTTTTCCGTCATTCAACATCGTGCTCAGAAGGCCGCCCTGGACGTAATGATCACGTGAGCCGTGTGCCGGAGTGTGGTGCTGTCACTGCTCACAGTGTCATGGCCCAGTAGTCCGTGTTGTCGCTGCTCACAGTGTCACGGCCCGGTAGTCCGTGTTGTGACGCTCGCTCCTCCTGGCTACGCCCCGTGTGCCGGGGGTGTGGTGCTGTCACTGCTCACAGTGTCATGGCCCAGTAGTCCGTGTTGTCGCTGCTCACAGTGTCATGGCCCGGTAGTCCGTGTTGTGACGCTCGCTCCTCCTGGCTACGCCGATTATATCTCAGCGTCCTTGAAATTAGCTTATGTAAACAACCCACAAAAAACAACTCACATAAACATACGTGGTCGGCGCATCACATTAGTGCGTTGCTCGGCGGTGAAGAAGGGCGTCACTCGTTAGGCGATTTACAAAGTGCCCCTGATGTTGATGCACTGCCGTGTGAAAACAACCCTGTGTGGCGATGGTGAGCTTTCCACGCATGGGAAGTGCCGTGTTTCTAGGACGTCCCATTTTTTTTTTTTTTTTACTTTTAGAGCAGGCTGTGTTGCTTTCCCATTTAAGATTCGTCAGTTGACATGCTGGTCTAGGGTCAATTTGTGAAGAGCTGCGGTCTTAGCAGCTGCCTCTTTACCAGAATTTGGCGAAGCGTTTCGATAGGATCAGGTTTGACACTCTCTTCGTTCCCCGGCACTTGTGGCTGCAATGAACTTGGAATGAAACTCTTCTGCTCGTCTGAGAGGAAGTAAATCAGGAAAAAGTTAAGCGGGCCAAGCCGGGGGGAAAAGTCCCGACTCTGTGCGCCGGAGGTGCCCAATGCAAAGAATTCTGCCTCTGCGCGCCTGAGGTGCCCAGTGTAAAGAATTCCGCCTCTGCGCGCCGGAGGTGCCCAGTGTACAGAATTCCGCCTCTGCGCGCCTGAGGTGCCCAGTGTAAAGAATTCCGTCTCTGCGCGGCGGAGGCGCCCGGTGGAAGGAATCCAGACTCCGTGCGCCAGAGGTGCCCAGTGTAAAGAATTCCGCCTCTGCGCGCCGGAGGTGCCCAGTGTAAAGAGTCCCGACTCTGCTCGCCGGAGGTGCCCAGTGAGAAGTCTCGCCTGACCGCCCGCGGCCATCTGGCACAGTCAGCTGGCGCTGTGTTTCCCCGCCATCGCCGGCCCGAGGACGGAACTGCGGCGCGGCAGCACGCGCTACGGCCGGCGCGCCGGCGGTGCTCTGAATCGGCAATGAGCCTGCTCTGAGTGTGCGTGGCATATGGTGCACGAGAGGAGAGCACATGTGGGACCACGTCGCAGTCGGCGCTCGCCGTAGCGTGGCGCCGCCGGGCGTGGGCAGGCGGTGGCAACAGCTGGGCGCGGCGGGGTGTCTTCGCGGTGCGGCGGGAATGCGATGAACGCGGGCCGGCATAGGTATGCCGCGGTGAGAGTGGAGATGACCTGCGATGGTGACTGGCGGATTGTGGAGATAGCTGCGGCGTTCGGCCACAGACCCGATGGTCAAGTGCGGCGTGAGCGTGGGTGGAGGCATTGGGTGGGTGGAGGCATTGGGTGGGTGGAGGTGTTGGATGGGTGGAGGGCATTTGGTGGGTGGAGGTGTTGGGTGGGTGGAGGTGTTGGTGGGTGGAGGTGCTGGGTGCGTCGGCTTGTGCCAAGTGAGAACCTTGGGACGACGATGTTCATCTTCCTTCGGTCAGCGTGACATTGGGCACTTGTATCCATTGTAAGAAATTTGAATAGGCGCACATTACTTATTGGCCGAGTCCTTTACATTCTGGAGTTCCTGTCCGTTGCACTTGGGTGATTACAATCATGGGACTGCGAATGACAAACCTGTTTGGAAGCAAGCTTGCTGCTGTACCGATGATCAGACAAACTCCTAGCCCTTACGCTTAACGCACTAGAGGAGAGCCTGGTTTCGTGCGGCCAGTATTTCGGTATCACTCGTATGGTGATGCTTATCCTACTAGAATGCAGTTTCATTATGAGTCCACGTTGTTACGTCGAGTCAACGACCTTCAAGATACCAGGAGGCACTGCTTAAGGGACTTAACACTAAACAACGGTCATATTGGTTGTACTTAAACAGGGCGTAGTTTCGTGAAGTGAGTTAGGGGAGCTGAACCTTAAAAAACTGCCAGCAAACGAGTTTCTTCCCGTATTTGGCCCGCTTCACTCTCAAAGTTGGTGGGTTGGACCCCATGTGGAATGTGTGTGTGGGGGGGGGGGGGCTGAAGCCCCATTCAAAACTAAATAGGAAACTACTCTCCTGTACTCGATGTTTCGAGCTGTGCTCGTCCTTAAGAGTCGGATGGATCATCCTCAGGATGAGCTGTGTGTATCCCCAAGGTAGTTAACATAATGCTTTTGAACTCGATGCTGAAAAACCAGGAGCTGGAGGTGTTCCTTTTGCCTAGAATGCAGACTCCACTGGCGCTATGCGGCTCGGCTGATGCTGGCCTGCACTGTCTAATCTACGTCAGGCAGAACATTCTTGCGCATTCTGGGGCGGGAATGCACTTGAAAGTAACGGGAAGAGCAGAGTTTCGAGTTGATCGGCAAAGGCACGCAGCGTCTCTACGGCCTTTCTGCCAATAAATGTTTTTCTCCGTAACCAAGGTTTTGCGCACAAAAAATAGTTCCATGGGGGTGCTAGAATGACCTCAGCGGAAGGAAAGACCATCACGTAAGGCGAGATAGCGATTCACCGCTTCCGAGGATGTAGTCCAAAAGCGTTTAAAAAGATGTCTGTTAAGTTAGATAAACGCTGTCATTTCAGTATTGCGCTGAAAATGTATGTTTCTTTATTTGTATGTTTAAATATATGTTCATATATATATATATATATATATATATATATATATATATATATATATAATATATATATATATATATATATATATATAATATAAAACTATGTTTCATCCATTTCTTCACAGCAGTCCACCGGCAATACTGTGCCCTGTGACGTCACGGCCCCTGCCTTCTCCCCCCTGTGACGTACGGTCATGCCTTCGCGGGCCAGGAATCAGGGAATTGGTTAGGATTGGGGCCCAGAGGAATCTTGACTCGTTCCTTCCGTGGTGTCACTGTCGCATGTCACTGTGGCCTGCCGGCGGGATGTTCACATCGGCGCTCTCGGTCGTCCTTCAGATCCAGGACACGCTGGCGCGGCGCAGAAAGTGGGAGCAACGACCGGCAGCGCCTGCGCCTGCAGGCCGTCCTGGGAGAGGGCACTTCGGCCAGGTGAGTGCCACTACGGCCGGGGAGTCGCAAGCCGTCCTGGGAGAGGGGCACTTCGGCCAGGTGAGGTGCCACTACGGCCGGGGAGTCGCAGGCCGTCCTGGGAGAGGGCACTTCGGCCAGGTGAGATGCCGCCACGACCGGCAGCACCTGCGCCTGCAGGCCGTCCTGGAGAGGGGCACTTCGGCCAGGTGAAGGTGCCGCCAGGGCCGAGGACCCTCTGCCTCTGTAGCACTGGCCTACGGGATTTTTTTGAGAGCCACGACTATTTCACGGCTTTGGTAGAAATAGGGTAGGAGTTTGCTGACCCTGAACTGCAGGTAAGCGGCGTCCCTTTGCATGACGGTGTTTTGTTGGTGCGTTTTTTTTTTTGTCCTGTGCAGGGTAGCGGTATTTTGGTCCTGTGCGGGCACGTGCTTGGTGTTTGGGTCCTGTGCGAAGGTGCTGGTGTTTTGGTCTTGTGTGGGGTGCTGGTCCGCTGCTATATCTCCATGAAGTTGTTGTGCCCAAGAGCCGGCAGCATGACGCTGAAGTGCGTGTTGTGAATGTACGGTTATATGATGTTTCCGCCTGGGGCCCGTGCACGCAGTGCGTTACTTGGTTATCTCGATGTCTCCGTTGATTGGTATCGCGGAGGTCTGAACAACCACACTCATCTCCTATAGTGAATGTATCTTTTTTTCCGATCGAGATCATTGATCACTGCATGCCATTATTGTAGATACATTCTTGCCATTTCATTCAGATTTTCTATGGGATTTAAGCTTAAGAGTCTTCAGAGTGGAGTTATCATGTGATTACTCTCTCTAGGTCTGGAGATGAACAAATCAGTGACGGTTTGTTCCACGGCTAACAGGCAGAAAGAGCATGTCACCACGTTACTATGCTTACATCACTTGCCGTCATGTTTTCAGAGAACATGCTACACTGTCTGAAGCAGGCAGTTTGTCTTTCGCGTTCATGCCATCCAGTTAGGTCAGATGTTGACACATTGCAATTCATTTCGGAGGACGCGGAGAATGACAGCCACAGTTTTTGGGAGTGTGATATTTCTGAACTATAAGGCTAACGTTATGCATTGCGACCATTTGAAATGCGCCTGCTCATCTCCCCAAAAGTGGGGAAAGTGGTGTCTTTGACGAAGATGCTCATCTCATGAAGCCGTTGGCAGCTTTCCATAACCGAAGCTAACAATCACGTGACTTCCCTTCCCAGCCTGCTTCTCCAGCAAGATGATCGCGCGGTTGCCCCGGATTGGGGTGGACAGGGGCAGGCGGTCACGTGACTTATTGCTTCAGGTTTGGAGGGCGGAGGCGGACGGTGTGCGTGGTCACGAAGGCACGCTCCTGGTCGCTGTTAAGAACGTCAAGACAGCGCTTCTGCCAAAGATAAGCAGGGTAATGTTACGCAGCATCGCGATCTATAACGGCTGCAGCCATGTCATGCTATTTGTCATTTTATCGCATTGGTAGTTTATTGAAACGCAAACGCACACGCAGCAGTAACCTCTGCACACGCAGCATTAACCTCTTTTTGCCTCAGACAAAGTGTATGTTTTATGTCATGGCTGTGCATTTGACCCCTGCCGCTTTCAACTTTCAAAACGCCCGCGGGAAGAAACTGAAGCCCTCCGATTGCGGCTGGGTCGCCTCTGGTGTTGGCGTATTCTCGCCAGCCGTGGGATGACCTGGCGCTGACCTGGGGCTGATCTGGAGCTGGTCTGGGGCTGATCTGGGGACGATCTGGGGCTGATCTGGGGCTGATCTGGGGCTGATCTGGGGACGATCTGGAGCTGACCTAGGGCTGATCTTGGGCTGGTCTGGGGCTGATCTGGGGCTGATCTGGGGCTAATTTGGGGCTGACCTGGGGTTGACCTGGGACTGTTTTGGGATTGATCTTGGGGCTGATCTGGAGCTGGTCTGGGGCTGGCTGGAGCTGGTCTGGGACTGGTCTGGAGCGGACCTGGGGCTGATCCGAGGCTGATCTGGAGCTGACCTGGGGCTGACCTGAGCTGATCATGGGGGTCGACAGGAACTACCTACTCCGCGAGTTTGCGAATCATGCAGAACCTGGGCAGCCACCCAACGTCGTCACACTGCTCGGCTGCGGCACAGAGGAAGGTAATGAGTTCATTGATCTACGGCGCGTGCAGCTGCAAAAAGCTACTTTGTGTGTGCGTGCATGCGTGTGAGTGTGTGCGTGCGTGCTTGAGTGCGTACGTGCGTGCGTGCGTGCGTGCGTGCGTGCGTGCGTGGAATGCGGATCCCGAACAGTCCATCATTACCACCTGGGACAGATTGCCGTGATATACCTGATTGTATTTGGGGTGCATTAATTATACGCATGTTGTAAGCCACTGAACTCCAGAGCCTAGTCTGTTGGATCCACTGCACTCCAGAGCCTAGTCTGTTGGATCCACTGAACTCCAGAGCCTAGCCTGTTGGATCCACTGAACTCCAGAGCCTAACCTGTTGGATCCACTGAACTCCAGAGCCTAGTCTGTTGGATCCACTGAACTCCAGAGCCTAGCCTGTTGGATCCACTGAACTCCAGAGCCTAGTCTGTTGGATCCACTGAACTCCAGAGCCTAGTCTGTCGGATCCACTGAACTCCAGGGCCTAGCCTGTTGGATCCACTGAACTCCAGAGCCTAGTCTGTTGGATCCACTGAACTCCAGAGCTTAGTCTGTTGGATCCACTGAACTCCAGAGCCTAGCCTGTTGGATCCTTGAATTAAATTCCTCAGGATATTACGCAAAAAAGCCATACCATGAATCCAACAAGCCCGGATGAAAATCGATTGGTTTCACGCAATGGCAGCTATCATGCGGTGCACTGAGTTGCTGAATCCTTTAAATCAGGTCATATATACCCAGCCTAGGTGGTTTATACAGAGATTTATACAGAGCCCATAGTTTGGGCCGGAGAGAAGGCACGAAGTGTAATGTTCCAGTGATTTGGGATTTCTTGTGGGTGGGAACGTGCTTCTTGAAATCATACGTTTTGCCCGCTCCAGGAACACAAAGCTGTGACACATACTGGATAAGCCCAGTTCCTGCAGCTCAATGAGCGTACTTAGATGGCCCCCTGCGCCAAGACCTTGCTGTCGAGCTCATTCGCCTTCCATTCAGCCATCTCTGTCACTTTCAAACATTGTTCTGTCGACCTTGGTGGCATCCTGGGAAGTGTCTGGATGCCTCTCAGGGCGTCCAGAAAGGCGGACAATGCCCAATCTCATCAGCGACCCGTCAGTTTCTCGGCATACTTGTCAAAGTCTCTCGGTCAGAACGCTCGGTTTAGACTCATCATTCGAGTCAGCAATGTCTGTTGCGGACTCATTAGTGGTACTGATTGCCTCGCTGCCCCGTGGACAACGAAAAACAAAGTGCAATGTTATGGGGACACTGGTCTAATGACCCATGTGAGCCAAGGATAGCACCCACGACCGCTATTGCTAACAGTGTACGCAGTGACCTAAGTTGACCGGTTCTCTCTACGACACATTTCACAGCGGAGGGTTCGCGCCGATCTGTTTGGTACCCGCGGCGTGTATCCGAGCTCTGCTTTCTGTGGTTTTGTGAGCGATCAGCAGCGATGGCGGCGGGGGTGAGGGATCGGCAGCTATGGCGGCGGGGGTGAGGGATCGGCAGAGATGGCGGCGGGGGTGAGGGATAGGCAGCGATGGCGGCAGGGGATGAGGGATCAGCAGCGATGGCGGCGGGGATAAGCGATCAGCAGCGTTGGCGGCGGGGGTGAGGGATCGGCAGCGATGGCGGCGGGGGGTGAGGGATCGGCAGCGATGGCTGCGGGGATGAGCGATCAGCAGCGATGGCGGCGGTGATGAGCGATCAGTAGCGATGGCGGCGGGGGGTGAGGGATCGGGAGCGACGGACCTGGGCGTCGTACGGCCTCCCACCTAGAAGCCCAATGGGGAACAGAATGCGTATGACATGATTAGGAACGTTGATTAGGCGTCTGCTCGTGTCTTGAGCGCACTGAGTATGGTTATATACGTAATCGCGCAAAGCAAGTATTTTACACGCACGTACATGTGCGTGCGTGCGGGCGCACAAGGTAAGGTGTCACGCCCAAGGCACAGAAGAGAACGCTCGGAGCACAGAGTTCATGGGGATACTGACGCCACTTCTCTGCCGCTTCAGACCCGGTGCTGGTCGTGATGGAGTACGTGGTGTTCGGTAAGCTGCTGACGTACCTGCGTGAGAACCGCGGCCGCCACAACTACTTCAACTTCTCGCACGACTCGGCTGTGCTGACCTCCCGCGACCTGACCCTGTTCGCGTGCCAGGCGGCCGCCGGCATGGAGTACATCGCCGCGCAGGGGTGCGTGACCGGCGCCGGCGCGCGCCGCCTGCGCTGGCGCTGGGCCGCCAGTGGCGGAGTGGAAGACAGGCGGGATGAACGCTCTCGAGTCTGTATAAGTGTTCCTAATAGTGGTCACGTTGCATAACCACTATTAGTCATTCTGTTGAAAGTAACTTACCTTTAATATTCCACAAGTCCTGGTTATGCGATTTTTTCGAGCAAATATCGATATGTTTTGAGAAAAATCGACGATGCAACCGCTTAGCTATATTTAGGTAATGCCCACATACCTTACATTGGAGGCCTTTTGCGACTTGCAGGTGTTGATTCAAATGATTACGGCTCATATATGGAGGGTACTACCATAATAATTTGTTTAAAGTGTAAGAATATCCTTCACTGTCACGAGATGTTTATCGCGGCAATCAAGATCATCGAGCAGACACACTCTGACACTGTTTGCCAGCTTTGTGATGGCACAACATATAAATTGAGACAGATGTTCATATTCTTTTATGAACATGTATGGTAGATTTGGGTCAATACGAAGTGAAACAAACAACGCCAAAAGAAGTAAATACATGTCGCGCCCCAAATTTAATTTTTGTTGCCAGAATGCCTCGGAGTTCTCCGCCACTTTCACATAGGACATTTCCCCCGTTTTGTCACTTGATGCCCCGTTCAGCATCATCGGATGACACCGAGCTACACTCGCTGACCTCAGATTGTGCACCGTGACCTGGCCGCTCGCAACATCCTGGTGGACCACAACAAGGTGTGCAAGGTGTCCGACTTCGGCATGTCCAGGAGCCAGCAGGAGATCAGTTCGGAGGTGTTCGAGCAGAACACGGGTGAGGCTGCAGCGTTAATGGCGGCTCGGAACGTGCAGCGCCGCGTCCGCGCAGGGTTGCAGGGCGCGCGCGCTCACTGATCGTCGCGCGCTGCTGCTGTGACTATCGTCACTGCAGCGCGGTCAAGCTCATTTAACTCAGACTTCCAATGTAGGGGGCTGATCCTCTGTGGGAAGGTTGATTACGAAAAACGATCCAGTCCCCATGAACTACGCGAGATCTTTGTTTGGAGATTTCCTGTTATGAGTCACGATTTCACCAAAAAAAGTAATAAACATCACATTGCGTGGTTGCGCTGATTAAGGACCAGACATGCTTGCGTCTTCTTCACTGAAATGAATAGTAGCGTTCACTTGAGTTCGGTCGTTCTTCCAAACACCATTGTTGTGTGAGGCCAGCTGTAGGCGTGCTTGCCGTTGGGCTCACATGAGTCTGAGCCGCCCTCTATGGGCTACCGTGTAACTAGAGTTTTGCGGTGCTTCCACCAGGGTGCTCTGCCGATACGTTGGATGTCGCCCGAGTCACTCTACCACAACACCTTCAACCAGAAGACTGACTGTTGGAGCTTCGGCATCCTTCTCTGGGAGATCATCACACTGGGTGCGTGGTTCAAGTGATGAGCGTTTGACTGGGTCGTCCAATTCGCGTTTGTGATCGCCTGACTCGCTCACAATCGTATACCGGCTAGGCTCGGTCACACTCGTTATTAGAATAGTTCCAAGTGTGTTAAGGCATCGAACGAGAGTGCGCAATAACGAATGTGGTGGTGTGGTCCCCTGAAGGCCCTGTCAGAGCCACTGATAATACACTCTCCGTCTGACCATACCACATTGGAGAGTGTTTGTACACTCTCCATTTGACATACCACATTGGAGAGTGTTTATACACTCTCCATTTGACCATACCACACTGGAGAGTGTTTATACACTCTCCATTTGACCATACCACATTGGAGAGTGTTATACACTCTCCATTTGACCATACCACACTGGAGAGTGTTTATACACTCTCCTTTGACCATACCACATTGGAGAGTGTTTTATACACTCTCCATTTGACCGTACCACATTGGAGAGTGTTTATACACTCTCCATTTGACCATACCACATTGGAGAGTGCTTATACACTCTCCATTTGACCATACCACATTGGAGAGTGTTTATACACTCTCCATTTGACCATACCACATTGGAGAGTGTTTATACACTCTCCATTTGACCATACCACATTGGAGAGTGTTTATACACTCTCCATTTGACCATACCACATTGGAGAGTGTTTATACACTCTCCATTTGACCATACCACATTGGAGAGTGTTTATACACTCTCCATTTGAACCATACCACATTGGAGAGTGTTATACACTCTCCATTTGACCATACCACATTGGAGAGTGTTTATGCACTCTCCATTTGAACAAAGTGTCACAAAGAGCCTCATCGCACAAGCACCTCTATGAACGTTTACATATGTAACACAAGGCCATCGGGCGCGTACTCATGGAAGCCTTAGTGAACGAAGCCGCTTAAAGCTTAGGCTAGCACAAGCAAAACCTTAGTCTAACACGGATCGTGCCCATTCTCCAAGCTCTGCTCAGCCTTGCCCCCCCCCCCGCCCCTCTCGCATTGTTGCGAGTACTACATCATATCGGGGTCTAGCGAACAATGCACCCCCCGTCCACCAGCTGTGGCGTACAGTGCTCAGTTTAACGGTGAGGTTCAATGACCGCAGAGCGACGACACCTTGATGGATATGCGGTCTGACAGCTAGTTCCTGTTTCATATTTTCCTTTTCCAATGTATTCAGTGCATAATACACTATACAGTGCATCATGTACAGCTTTTACTTTACCGTACATATATACATATATATATATATATATATATATATATATATATATATATATATATATATATATATGATGACAACAATCTCATCGATGCAGTAAGTTTCCAGAGTTGTACTGCATGTTCATTATAGATTCACATTCACGTCGCTCTGTCTGGAGGTCAGGTCACGCGTGGTTCCATGTCACGGTACCACTTCCGTGTGCCGTGGGCTCCGTCTGATGTCCAGTTTCGCGTCATGCCACCCCTTCGTGTGTCGTTGGCTCCGTCTGATGTCCAGTTCCGCGTCATGCCACCCTTTCGTTTGTCGTTGGCTCCGTCTGATGTCCAGTTCCGCGTCGTGCCACCTCTTCGTGTGTCGTGGGCTCCGTCTGATGTCCAGTTCCGCGTCATGCCACCTCTTCGTGTGTCGTGGGCTCCGTCTGATGTCCAGTTCCGCGTCATGCCACCCCTCCGTGTGTCGTGGGCTCCGTCTGATGTCCAGTTCCGTGCCACGCTACCCCTTCGTGTGTCGTGGGCTCCGTCTGATGTCCAGTTCCGCGTCACGCCACCCTTTCGTGTGTCGTGGGCTCCGTCTGATGTTCAGTTCCGTGTCACGCCACCCCTTCGTGTGTCGTGGGCTCCGTCTGATATCCAGTTCCGCGTCACGCCACCCCTTCGTGTGTTGTGGGCTCCGTTTGATGTCCAGTTCCGTGTTACGCCACCCCTTCGTGTGTCGTGGGCTCCGTCTGATGCCCAGTTCCGTGTCACGCCACCCCTTCGTGTGTCGTGGGCTCCGTCTGATGTCCAGTTCCGTGTCACGCCACCCCTTCGTGTGTCGTGGGCTCCATCTGACGCCCCGCCTCCATCTCAGGTTCGACGCCGTACCCGGGCCTCTCAGCGCGGGAGGTGATGGCGCTCGGTGCGAGAGGGCTACCGGCTGGAGCGGCCCGACCACTGTCACCCGCAGCTGTACCAGCTGGCCGCCAGCTGCTGGGCTGCAGAGCCCAGCTGGCGGCCCAGTTTCGCCGAACTCCGCAACGACCTGGAGGTCAGGCCAGCGGAGGGGAGCGACGTTCGGAGGGGTGTGCCAGCGAAGGGGAGAGGAACATTCGGTTGGGTGTGCCAGCGGAGGGGAGAGCGACGTTCGCAGGGGTGTGCCAGCGGAGGGGAAAGGAACATTCGGATGGGTACGCCAGCTGAGGGGAGAGCGACGTTCGGAGGGGTGCTGCCCGAGAGGATGGGGTGACGGCGGGGTGGAGATGCGTAAGGAAAAGAAGGTACGGGAGCGGATGTGTAAGGGAGCAGCTGCGTTACAGTCAGAAATAGACTGCTGTCAATGTTCGCTTATCTACGCTCCTCTAAAACAGAGAGTAAACGCCCATTCAACCTTGAGGAAGATGGGCATGGGAAGACGGTCACTGGTGAGGGGTGGTGTTCGGTAGAATGGTGAGCAGAATAGTTAGAAAAGGGTGAGTTAACCACAGGCTGTTAATGAAATAGGGTCGAGAATTATAACGTGCTGCGCAATGCCGTTAAAGATTGCCCGGACACAGCGGCGGCAAATGTTCGTCTTCTTGTCCGTGACAAGTGACATCTTGGATTGCGTTTGACACTCCTACTCCACGCGATCCGGGACGGACGCTCTGGCGTCACGAGGATGACGCACTGGCCGGGAAGACACGACTACAAGCCGATTGTGCGATCCAGGGAGGGGGAGAGTCTCTGACTACACCAATGGGTGGAGAGGGTAACTGGAATTGTAGAGGGTAACTGGAACTGGAGGGTATCAGGTCTATCATTCCGTTGCAAAACGATAGATAAATGCACTCGTGTCACTGCCTAGCGCCCACCCAACTTTTGACGAGAACTGAGTTTGTGTTGGCGCTTTGTGCACGATGAAAAGTTGAAGAACCGGTGGAAAACTGAAGTTCCTCCAATGACCGTTTGAGTAAAACATTGCAGTCGTGATTCGTTGAAAGCAGGTAGTGAGATTACCTGCCTGATTCAATATACTTTTGGCCAGTGTTTTTCTATGGACACATTGCGTCTTGTGTGTCTTTGACACCACTCTGCTTTCGGCCTGTGTTGAGAATTATGTGTGGTGTGCCTGCGATTTTTGCCGTATCTGTTCCATACAAGCTTAAAGAGCAGATATTGGATGCCATTTTATCAGAACGTCGCTGCTATCAAGGCAGAAAACGTGTCACAGCATAATGGATACCACTGTATACATTTGAACAGATCTCAACCAGTACGAAAAAAATGCACTTTCTGGAACGGGAATGTGGCGGCTTTTTTGCGGATCTAGGCTGATGGTTCCATTTTACTTCGATCACGACGCTTCCAAATCAGCGTTGGTAAACCCCCACATTCTTCTGGTGTCCGGTGTCTCTGCCGCCTTCATTACAACTGGGTGACCTGACTGGACTCTTCACTTACAGGTGCTGCTGGAGGATCAGAAACCAGGGCTATGTGGACCTGGACCGGTTCCAAGAGGAGATATACGGCACATTGCATAAATCTAGCGATGAAAAGGTCTAGCTTGTGAAGCAACGCTACTGAAGCAAGACGCTAAGGACGGCCACGCTTTGTTTAGAGCCAAGGCACAACATTCCGTTGTCTGGGGTAGGACCCGAGCTAGAGCATGTGCATGGCAATGACGGCGACAGCAACTGCTGCACGATGCTGGAGGCTATTCTGAAGAACATGAACTTGTGATAAATTACCGCGTTTTTTTAGCCAGCGAGCGATATAAACTGGGGCGATTGGTCCGATAACTGCCGCAGTTGGCCGTGTCGTAGGCTGCCGGATTGATATCGTTCTGAGGATGAATATTCACCCATGCTGCTGGCAATAGTGAGCGAGCTGCAGTACATGCTCCGTCCTTGTGAACCGAGCCTCTCGTGTTATGTCCATGTGTCCAGTATTTTCATCATACACTTTCTTTGTTTGTTAATGGTTTTTAGACGTATTATCTTTGTGAGGTCATGTGAGATCGTCTTTGTCGCTCAATGCAATGCCGTATTATGTGTGATGACTTGTTTGCTGAATGAATTTTTATATAAAAAAGCCGCTGTTTTTACTAGACACGAGCGGTTTCCGCCGAGCGTTATGTGGTGCCCTGGATGAGGAAGGCCTTCCATCAATCACCTTTCACAGTGGTCGCTACACAGAAGACGTCTGCAAAACGGTGACAATACTCATAGCAGCCCGCTGAGACCTAGGGGGACGCGTAGCCGCGCTGCGACAACTGGTGCACAACACTCACGCTGGTTGTCGTGATGTGGCACGCTAAATGATTGGGTAATGTGCAGGACCGGACGCGGGTTTCGCGGCAATGGTAGGCTCAGTCCACTGCCAGGTGTCCCGATCAATCATTTTCGTATGACGTTTCAAGCCATGAACGCAACGGACTTTGGCATGAATGAAAATGCGTCAATGGTACATGTTTAGCGAGCCTCTTCCCGCGAATCGCACTTTCCGAATTCAGCCAATGTTAAATTTACAAAGCTCTGAGTGAACTCGGATTCGATTATTTAACCGAGGGGCCCTGAAAAATTCATTCATTTACCTCAACCTAACTACATTTATGCAAGCAAAACGTGTGGATATTATGTATACACGAATGTTAGAGCCAGCGCCAAGCGATTCGTCATATTAAATGCGTACACTTATACTGAAGTGTGGCTCAGAATAGCACCATCAAGCACAGATGACAATTTTTCTTCTTGAGCATACTGCATCCAGCGCATGAAGCCATGAAGACAAATTGGCACACATATACAAATATACTCTGGTTTGTACGCTGGTCATAGGTCACAAGAGCACAAGTTCTTTACTGAATACAAACAGTGACAAAACGACGAGGATTAAAAGGCAGTCTTGATAATCGTTCGTGCACAATGCGAACGGACTTAGAAATTCTCTACATTTCTTCTTGACGACTACTCTTCGAGCCAGAGAGGCGATAGGAAATTCGCCTGCTGTCACGCATGGGCAAAGCAGACCCATCACTGTGTACCTCAGCCACTTGCTAACTGGTCTCCGTAGTACCACTGGTGTCTCGACTTACCAGTGAAGCTTCTGTTGATGACACAGAAAAGGGTGTCGTATTTGTTGCCGACGGAAAAGATGACTCAGAGACCGCTGATCTACTCATAAGAGATTTACAAATGGGTGTTTCATGTTTCACCTGTTTTCAGCTTCCAGCTGTTTCTGCTGATGTCTATTTGGGCTTGAGATATCCTCGGTGAATGACGACATTTTCGCATCTCCGATGCTTGTCTTCGTTTTGGACGTATAAGAGCTAAATAGTGATGATGAATCATCAAAAGGCTTCTGAACGTGAGCTGTCAGAGACATCCGTTTGAAATACGCATATGTGCGATTTGATTTTGTTTGCCAGCTCAGTTGCAGAAGGTGGCATTGCCTTCACAAACGTTATTTGGAAGGAAAAAAGACGCGTAGTAGTTTGAAAATTTTCCGCCAACCTTCAGTAGAATCAGTAAAAACTGACATGGCAAAATCAAGTTACTTCAACCATTTTGCGGAAAATCGTGGCCGAATGGCGTTGTTTGCTAGTCTGTAAAGCAACTGCCTGCGTCAAAGAAGTGGGGCTAAAAACTATGCTCTAAAACACGCGCCGTATTTTTATTCTATTTTTCAATCAGCACGTACGATGAGAAGAGCGACCTAACGTTATCACTGTTCTAGACGAAATTTTTGTGACAAATAATGGCGATACGTTTGAAACTGACAACTGTTATAACTTAATGCATCTGATATCAACAGACTCTGAACGGTTGGAAGCCAAATTTCAGCATATAAACAACTTCTCCTGGTTCCCTGGGACATCACGGAGGAATCGCAAGAGTCTACCAATGTGACTACGGACGGTCAGTGGAAATGGATCACTTAATCCATGACATGGCATGATGTTAGAGCACAGGTCCTGTCGTTGTTTTATGACATAGTTAAGTTGCATGTCCCCAGAAGTGTGTGACATATGCACAGCGATAATAGCAAACACTTTCATATGGAGAGCGTGCTTATGTGCCAATCAGATCACTGAGGTCTATCAACGTGTGGTAGAGTGGTGCCAAACAGCCCTAGTTTCGTTTAAGGTTAAATCTTCGGAATGAGGCGCGTAATCCGACCAGCTTAGATGTCAGTGACAGGGTCAATGTATTTTATTGCATTGAACACTAAAGCGTGCAGGCATTGATGGCGTTTGGGGCCTAAAATTGTTAAATTCAGCGAGGGCGTAAAAAGGAAACCTTTGCCCCAGCTCGGAGCAAACCACGCCCTGCACTGAGGGCAAAACTTGTCCCCTGTGAAAGTTTCATTTTGCACTTGTAGGGTTCATTTTTTTTCGCGTAACGCACAAGGTAACACCTTAAGACGCGAGCCATTAAAGCGCCTGTTAAAATGTTTATGTAAGCATTGGTTACGCCATCATCATGCCATAAAAAAGAAGAGGCCATATCTGCGAGCTTCTGGGACAAACAGACATGAGTGAAGAGCGTCCAATGAAGCGTTTCCAGTCCACGAAGTATGTGTTTTAATGCATGCGTGCAATATAATCAATGAGCGTATGATACACAACTGGTGAAAAATTTTCTCGTTCACGGGCCGTTCGTCTGTTGTCTGATCATGTCCACCTAACCCGCCGCAAAGGCCTGTGATGCATCCTTCTGCTCGAGTAATCTATTTCGCAGCGTTTCACACGCTCAGCTTAAGAGCGTAAAGCTCAAAACGTACCTGAAGTCACATCTCCAACAAGCTTCAAAATGTCACTCGAGTCGTCACTGGTCACAGGGCACCAAAACTGACACTTCATAGCAAAAAAAAAAACGAAACTTTGACAAAACCGTACTCACACGTGGCAGTTCAGCCTTCCATTTACTCCCGGCAGAAGCCACACACCTAATATATTTGCCCTTTGCTAGCATCCGTGCACGGTTCACATGACCATTTTGAGCACTTCGTGCACTGAATCCAGGACTGACAAGACGGCGGTACTGAATACAGTAGACGAAGCACCTGGCGGTCTAGGTCGTCTTGTTTCTCCGTCACCTCTGCGTCACCACGCCCCCATCTGCTCTCTCCTGCACCGTTTCTATTTCTCTCCCCGTCCCTGCCTTTTCGCCGGGGCCTTTCCCTCTGCAGTGGCTGTTTGCATGGTGGAGAGCATACCCCAGCCCATTTCTCCTCCTGTAGCCGTGTGCGGTTGCGGTTTGGTGTTCTGAGCAACGGGGAAAGACTCTGAACGATTCTGAATACCGCTAGGACCGGCCACAGACTCGTCTGTGTGTGTGTGTGTGTGTGTGTGTGTGTGTGTGTGTGTGTGTGTGTGTGTGTGTGTGTGTGTTGTGTGTGTGTGTGTGTGTGTTGTGTGTGTGTGTGTGTGTGTGTGTGTGTGTGTGTGTGTGTGTGTGTGTGTGTGTGTGTGGTGTGTGTGTGTGTGTGTGTGTGTGTGTGTGGTGTGTGTTGTGTGTGTGTGTTTGAACTGGATGTTGTTCCTGACCCCACTGTCCGCGCGGCTGGAGTCGGTCCCGACTTTGCACCATCCTCTGCCGCGCCCTCTGTAGCACTCCGCAGCTCGCTGCCACCGGCATTGCCCGATATCGGGTCCGGTTATAACTCCTCGGTCACTGCTGACTATGGAGTCGTCGTGACTGGTTTCTGCGACAGCCGCGC